GTAAATAAACTGCTGAAAGTGTGTATTAAAATGTGCAGAAGTGTGTTCACTGTAGACGATGTGTTAACTCAGGAAGTTCACTTCAGTAAGCATTTTATTTTTTCTGTGCCAAATAACACAGAAAAGTCCAACTCCATCACGCTGAACTGGGATGGAAACAGACAGGAACATTTCAGACTAAACTGGCTGCCACAGTCCCTGTTATCAAGGTTAGACCTTCTAATGTCAGTTTTTAACCACGTTACTCTGAAATGACATTTCTGTGAGTACTGCAAAAACAAACACAAAAAATCATTAAAAGCTATTTTGTGTGACGGGGTGGACGTGTTATGCTTGACACACCCTGTAGATGAAGAAAACAACAAATGATCAAAGTTGAATAAACACAATTTACCAGCTTTTAAACTCCCTTAAAGGCTTAACTGAAGTTATTTAATCATTATCATGTCACAAAATGCCATACTGTATGACTAGTGGTGTGACGAGATGGAAGCCACATGATAAATTACTGTATTTTTCTTAAAGCTGCACAATGTAAGATTCTTTTGTTCAAACTGAAAGGAGTAGCATTACTGAGGCAGGAGAAAAAAGAACTTGCTAAAATATGGTGTGTGCGCTGCTGAAAGTCACCTGTAAAGCCTGAAATAATAATTTAAGTCAGAGGCATCGGGATGGATTTCGCGGGAGTTTTTCAGACCGTCATACGTCAAAGTTAAAAATAAAAAATAAACATAAAATGTTGCTTGTGCAAAACTACGAAACATTTTAGATTTTATGTTTTATTTTTTTCAGTTTGTTAAACTCAAAATAAACAGAAATTGTGATGAAAAAAGCCATATTGAAGTGTGCTCTTCACAGAGGATGTGTTCAATTATTTTCACTTAGAAAATCAACAAAACGTATCAGTTGTGTGGGGGTGTTTAAACTTTTGCACACAACGGTATTAGCAGATTTGTGTCACTTATACACTGAATTCCATGTTGTGACTCAAAAGCATTTTTTTCAAGGAAAAATGCTGTTGTAACATTAAATGATTTAATGAGAAGTTGTAATGATATTCACACATTCCACTAATTGCTCTCCCTTGAGGAGAAATTCCAGACTGTCACATACACACAAGTAAAAGAGTGAGTTCCAAAGTCACATCCACATGCTTTATATATTAAAAAGGGGTGAGTTCCATCACTATAGGGAATTCACTCTGGAATTCAGCTATAGATCCCTGTGGGAAACCAAGAAGCATTATACATTCATAATTGTACTCATCCGAACCATCGAGACACTTTAGCTGAACAGAAAATGCTGAGAATTTTCATCAGATGGAAGGTCACACTCTGGGAGAACCTGAGCAGAGCCAGTGCAAAATTTACTCTGTCACATCCTAACAGCTCAATAAAGGGCCCATATTTTGAATTCAGTGTGTTTGTGATGTCAAGTAAACCAACATATTAACATACATCCCCCTATTCAGCCAACAGCACTTTAGGCCCACCCATTCATGCTGGAGCAATAAAGAGTGTTTCAGCCCGGAATGGTTTTTGTACAAGGCACAATATAGGACATCTAATCAGAACAGAGCTCATTTACATATGCCACTCTTAAAGACACAGTAACAGAAACAGCCTGTTTAATTCTGAGGGATGTAGAGAGGTTGGAAAAATGTCATGTAGAAATGCATTATGACTGTTTTTGGTACATAAATCACACAAAATGTTGTAAGTGCACCTCAGAAGAAAATTCAAACACAACAAAAGTGTAAGATATGGGCTCTTTAATGCCCCGTAATAATCCACTGTTTTAACACTAACAGGTAATCATTATATATACATATTGTTTAGTATTATTTATCACGCTGTTTGAAATGAAATTAGTCTTCTCTTCTTCTCTGTCAGTTCTTTTCTCCAACACAGCAACTGTGGCTTTTGAAGCATTGTCATCAGCTTACTTGTCAATCAATAATATCCGATTACATTGCCCTGTCATCCAAGCCTACACAGACGTCTGTTTTTATACTCTGTCAGGACATGAGGTCAAACATACGCTCAGTACACAAACAAATGTAACCTTAACAACTAAAAAGAAATTGTTTCAGTTTTAAAAAGTGAAACATGGAACTTCACAAAAAAAGCACTTTAAAAGTATTTGTGGTTCTGTAGGTTAGCTCTGTTGTTCTCTGGTTTACAAAGAACACTTTTGTCTTGAAAATCTATAAAAACAAGCCCACTGTAATACTTTACTATACTTTTGAGGACCTAATCAACAGTAAACCTTATTACTCTGATCTGATGCTGGGGCTGGGCAATAAGTGTATCTCAATATTTTTCAGCCTTCTGGCAATAAACAATATGCATTTCAATATTCATACATTCTCTCTGAAATGACTTGTGGGATTAAATTCAGAAAAGTCATCATTTTGACTGGACAGCTTACATAAGTGCAACAAAATCCAACCGCATGAAGAACAGAACTGTAGTTAAAACAATCTATGAATTATATCCAATCCAGTATTTGTTTTGTAGTGGACAAGCTTCTTTTTTGGTACTGAATGTCCCTCCCTAGTCTCTCTTTCAGTAGGCTTTTAGCAGACACTCTAATCCAGAGCAGCTGTCTTCAGGAAATCAACTGTGTGCTTAAAATCTGCAAAATGAGATGCATTAATATTTACAATGTTGCCCAATTTTGTATCTTTTGTATATTGAATAATATTGTAATTATTCAATAAATCAGCCAGTCCTACCTGAAACCCAAACCCACTGTTCACTCTAAGCCCATTCACACCTGACATGAACATGTGCCTTGGGTGATCCGATCATAAGTGGACAGCCATGTGACCACTCAAACGTTCCTGGGACGTAGATAATCTGAGATACATCTTCATATGTCTGGCTAAGTTAGATTAATTTACTGAACGTTTATGACAACAACCAGCTACCACAAAGTTTAGGTTGTAAACTCATAGTTTCTAACTTCAACTATTCAACAGTGGTCTCTACAGTGCTGTGAAAAAGTATTTGCCCCCTTTCCAATTTCTTCTATTTTTGCATATTTGTCACACTTGAACGTTTCAGATCATCAAACTACTTTTAATATTAGACAGTGAGAACACAAGTAAACACAAAATGCTGTTTTTAAAAGATGATTTCACTTATTGAAGGAAAAATGTTGTTCAGCCCTACCTTGCCCTATGTGAAAAAGTAACTGCACCCTTGTCTACTAAATCAACCAGCTAACCAAATTCAATTGACTATTGGGTTCAATTTCACTGGCCACACCCTGACATGATTACTGCCAGACCTTTCGAATCTAAACATCACTTAAATAGAACCTGTCTGACAATGTGAAGCAGACACACCAAAAGCAACATATGATGCCATGTTGCCAAGAGATTAAAAAAAAAAACGGATGCGAAATAAAGTCACTGAAATTTACCAGTCTTACAAAGCCATTGCTAAGGCTCTGGGACTCCAGCAAACCACAGTGAGAGTCATTATCCACAAATTAAGAAAACTTGGAACAGTGGTAAACCTTCCCAGGAGTGGCCGGGCTAGCTAACCAAGATTTCACCAAGAGCGCATCAAAAACTCATCCACGAGGTCACAAAAGAACCCAGACAAACATCTAAAGAACTGCAGGCCTCATTTGCCTCAGTTGTAAATGTACACAGTTTCACAGTAAGTAAGACAGTGGACACAAATGGCATTTATTGTAAAATGTCAAGGCGCAAACCACGGCTTACCAAAAAGAACATAAAGACCCATCTCCCAAAAAAGCATCTAGATGATCCCCAAGACTTTTGGGATAATATTCTGATGAATCAAACGTGGACCTTTTTGAAAGACATGGGTCCTATTACATCTGGCATAATGCTAACACCACATTCCACCATAAGAACATCATACCAACAGTCAAACATGGTGGTGGTGCTGTGATGCTCTGGGGCTGCTTTGCTTCTGCAGGACCTGGACGACTCTTCATAATTGATGGAACCATAAACTGTGCTCTCTATAAAAAAATCCTGAAGGAGAATGTCTGCCCATCAGTCTGTGACCTAAAGCTCAAGCACAGTTGGGTTTGCAGCTGCACAATGATCTGAAGCACACAAGCAAGTCTGAATGGCTCAAAAGAAACAAAGTTAAGGTTTTGGAGTGGCCGAGTCAAAGTCCTGACTTGAATTCCATTGAGATGCTGTGGCAAGACCTTAAACAGTGGCAGTTCATGCTCGAAAACCCAATGTAGCTGCATAAAAACAATTCTGCAAAGTAGAGTGGGCCACAATTCCTCCACAACAATGTAAAAGACTCATCGCAAGTTATCACAAACATTTGATTCCTTTTGTTATTGCCAAGGGTGGCACAACCAGTTATTAGGCTTAGGGGGGCAATTACTTTTTCACATGGATGATTTAGGATTTGAATAACTCTTTATCTTCAATAAATGGAATGATCATTTACAAGCTCCATTTTGTGCTCATGTTGTCTTTATCTTATATTAAAATTAGTCAGATGATCTGAAACATTTAAATGTGACAATTTAGCAAAAATAGAAGAAACCAGGTGGGGGCAAATACTTTTTCACAGCACTATAGCTAGTAACCTAACGTTAGCAAACTGATGATAAGTTATATTCGTATTTTCCCGTACCTCTCTATATAGGGCACTACTTCTGTCTAATAGGTCTTCTTCACATAAATAATGTATTTTATGTCTATAGGTCTATAGAAGGCTTTATACTGTGTAACTGAAACACAAATGGCTTTAAGGTTTGCATTATTTGGGGTGTAGAGCTCACAATTTTATCCCCTACGTAATTCACTACATAGGGGGTTTGGAGCCATTTCAGATTCACCTAATGGTACAAGGTTAGCTAACATCGTCCTCCTGTGAACTCTAGCAACAACAAGCAAATGACAGAAAGCTTTCAAACATCTTTGATCAGTCGCTCACACTTTCATGAGACGAGAGACCATAATGATAACTTATAGCAATACAATGTGTAGCTACCTGCATCTTTTTGTCGTTTTTTTGGCCTCTGATGGGCGATGGCGCTTCGAAGCCATTCTGTCACGTCTGCCGCTACTACACTCGTATGGATAGCAGAAAAAAAACATAGTTCAATGTTGGTACACGTGACCAGCCACACTTTGACTGGACATCAGTCAAAACTGGGGTTAAAATTCCCCAGCAGTCTTTTGAAATGTGTAATAGACTTATCTAATAAATAACTGTAAAATGTATGACATCATTGAGCAGGTGGGGACCCTACATAGCTTGCGTAGTCTGCCGATAGGAAGAACCAGCACTCATAAGCGGTCACTAGAGACACAATTGAGACACACGGGAATGCCAGATGTAAGTGGCTACACATCTCGCTGTCCACTTGTGATCAGATTGCTTGAGATGGATGCTTCACCAAGCATGAACTGCATCTGCAGGCCTAATCTGAAAGCTAGCTATAACCATAGCCAACATACAAAAATTCTGTACCTTATTAAGATAGTACAGATTTTTCTTGCTAGGACATGTACTAGAGGAAATCGAGTACATCAACACACTTTAATACTCGAGTACACTTACCATCGTCCTCGCATTCCTCTGGTGGTTTGGCCTTCTTCGCTAATCGTGGATCAAGCCATGATGTTGTTTTGGTGTTGTGACTGAGGAGGCACAGAGAAAGAAACACGTTTAATGCATCTACCACTGACTGTTTGCTAAAGCATTCACTGATAACTTCTCCTACAGCCTTCTCAGACTGCAAATGGGATCACTTCGCCAGGACTGAAGATCTCTACATTTACACCAGCGAGGAGTTACTCCATCTTCTCCTTCCATAATACAGCTGGCTATACATGATTTCATCAGCCAGCAGGTTATAAAGAGCTATTAAGGATTTCCAGTTAGATAAAGTGTTGCCGTAGCGGTTTTAAGTACATGATGAGTAAGATTCACGACTCGATATCCCACAAGCCTTCGCTACGGTGGGCGGCACAGTTCCAGTTAGCAGAATGGCAATCAATAATTTTAATGAGACCCCTGCCTCCCATAACACGAAGAAAGAGGGGGAAAGGAGGAGAATAACTCTCCCTCTTTCTCTCCTTCTGGCGCTGAATCTCTGTTTCTCTCCCTGTTTTGCCCCTATCTCTCTCTCTCGCTGGCTCTTTCTCTCCCTCTCTTTTTTTATCCCTCTCCCTCATAGGACCTCTGTGTATCTGTCTTTGTTTCTCACTCTATCTTCTTTTCTCTCTCCTGTCTCTCTCCCCCTATTGTGCTCCTATATCTCACTGTCTTTCTCTCACTCTCACTCTCCCTGAATCTCTCTCTCCTCTCTGTATCTCGCTGTGTATCTCTCTCCCTCCCTCTCTTTACCCCTATTTTTACTTGTCTCTCTATCTCACCCCGTATCTCTCTCTGTTTCTCTCTCTCTCTCCCTGTGCCTCTCTTACCTTGTATCTCTCTCCCACTATTTATCTCTCTCTTCCTGTATCTCTCTCCATCTCTCCCTGTATCACGCATTAATTCTCTCTCTATCATTCCCTCTCTCATCATGTATTTCTCTCACACCCAGTATTTCCCTCTCTATCTCTCCCCTCACTGTCTCTCTCTCTCTTCCTGTATCTCTCTCTTCGGGTATCTGTCTCACCCTGTCTCTCTCTTCCTATATCTGTTCCTCACTCTTACCATGCATCTCTCTCTTACCCTGTATCTCTCTCTTACCCTGTATCTCTCTCTTACCCTTTATCTCTCTCAACCTGTATCTCTCTTACCCTGTATCTCTCTCCACTTGTATCTCTCTCTTACCCTTTATCTCTCTTAACTTGTATCTCTCTCTTACCCTGTATCTCTCTCCACCTGTATCTCTCTCTTACCCTGTATCTCTCTACACCTGTATCTCTCTTACCCTTTATCTCTCTCTTCCTGTATCTCTCTCTTACCCTGTATCTCTCTCCACCTGTATCTCTCTCCACCTGTATCTCTCTTACCCTTTATCTCTCTCTTACCCTGTATCTCTCTCCACCTGTATCTCTCTTACCCTTTATCTCTCTCAACCTGTATCTCTCTCTTACCCTGTATCTCTCTCCACCTTTATCTCTCTTATCCTGTATCTCTCTCCACCTTTATCTCTCTCTTACCCTGTATCTCTCTCCACCTTTATCTCTCTCTTACCCTTTATCTCTCTCTTCCTGTATCTCTCTCTTACCCTGTATCTCTCTCCACCTGTATCTCTCTTACCCTTTATCTCTCTCCACCTTTATCTCTCTCTTACCCTGTAACTCTCTCCACCTTTATCTCTCTCTTACCCTTTATCTCTCTCCACCTGTATCTCTCTCTTACCCTGTAACTCTCTCCACCTGTGCCTCTCTCTTACCCTTCATCTCTCTCTTCCTGTATCTTTCCCACCCTGTATCTCTCTCTATGTCTCCTTCTCTCACCCTGTATCTGTCTCACCCTGTATCTCTCTCTTACTCTGTATCTCTCTCAACCTGTATCCCTCTCCCACCTTGTATCTCTCTATATAGCTCCCCCTCACTGTCTCTCTCAACCTGTATCTCTCTATTCCTGTATTTCTCCTACCCTGTATCTCTCTCTTTCTCTCCCTCTCTCACCCTGTATCTCTCTCTATGTTTCCTTCCTTCACGCTGTATCTCTCTCCCTCTCTCTCTGTATGTCTCTGTCTTTGCATCTCTCTCTCTGCCTCTCACTCCTTGTATCTTTCTGTCTGTACATCTCTTTCCCTCTCTTCTTGTATCTCTCTCTTCTCTCCCTCTCTCTTCCTTTATCCCTCTTTTTCTCTCTCCTTCCTTTTCCCTATATCTCTTTCCCCTCACTCATCTCTCTTTCTGTCTCTCTCTCTCTCTCTCTCTCTCCTCCACTTCACTAATGCTGATGTTTATTATATCATGTCTGCAAAACCAATTTGCTGCAATTTTAGGGTGATTCATTCAGCCGTGCGATACAGAAACAGCTCAACACGATCTACTGTGTCAATTCACAGTCAAACTCAGAGACGCTGAACAAAAAAAGAACAGCAATTTAATTTACAGAGGAAAAAGGCAAACGTATAGGATGTTTTGTCGGTTCTTACTCATGTTCCCATAAGTAATTCATGTATCCATGACACCATGTGAAAGAGGACACCCTCATTTATCCACACATTTCTCAGGAACTGCACAGATGCGCTCCACTCCCCAACCGCGGGCGGCTCCACATGCTTTGTGTCTTTCTCTGAAGCGTGCTTTGAAGTGAACTTCACTCACTCTATGAAGTAGACTTCGCCTTTCTCAGTGTAGGCCATCTCCCAGTTGTCAGGCAGCGGTCCCAGATCATCGTTGCCCTGCGAGTCTGGGGGGGATTTGGGGGCCTCGCCTTCCTCCTCTGGGGCGTCTGTGGCTGTGAGGGTGGGGGTCTCAGGTGGACACGACTGGGGGGGCACATCACCCGAAGCATCGGTGCTCTTGTCTTCATGTTCACTTGACTCTGTGGGAGGGACAGTGTGTGTGTAAGTCTGTGTGTTTTGTGCCCTATTTAAGTGTGATTGGTTTTAAGAGGGGAGGTTAATTATGAGATCCATTTCCCCAGTTCTTACAAGTCTGATAAATAGTTCTACCCCCTTAAAAGTCATTAGACTCATCTGGATTACAAATTACACTGATATTTTGTACTATGCCATATTTTATTTTAAAAGACTGAGCCTCAAAATTAATTCATTTAAAGTGGCAATGGTTTCATAAAGAAAATATTCTGTGATAAAAATTACTAACTGAAAAATGCTCTTGCATAAGTATCCTTTTATAAGTATTCCTATATAAGTATATACATGCTGTAGAAGCTCCTAGTTGACACAAATGGAAGATACTGCCCTAACGAGGGTACAACTGGCTTACAATGGGCCTTTACCAGTAAATCATTAAAGAAGCTCATCTTTTCTGGGTAAAAGACTTCCTTAATTTAAGTACCACTGGTCAGACTGTGAATCTGAAGGAAAAGTGTGAAAATTAAGACCAAAGAGCATTCTAAGGAAGATAAAGTTATACAGACACACAAAAAAGGGAAAGACTACAAAATTATATCTAAGTGTTTGAATTTCCCAGTGAGTGAGACCAATTATGAGGAGGTGGAAGCTGCATTGTACCACCCAGGCACTGCCTAGACAAGGTTATCCCTCAAAACTCAGCATCAGAGCAAAAAGGGGACTTGAGAGGAAAGCCACTTAAAGACAAAGTGCACCAGTCAATAATAACAAGAGCTTTGGATACAACTGACCTGTATGGGAGGACGGCTAGAAAGAAGCCATCACTGAAGAAAAACTACATCAAAGCACGTCTAGAGCTTGTTAGAAAGCATCAGAGAGACCCAGCTAATACGTACAAAAAGGTTTTGTGGCCAAATTTCAAAATGCTGTATGTGGCACAAACCTAAAACTGTCCAAACATCATCCCAACAGTGAAGCATGGGGGCAGAATCATGTCATCAGGAGAGGCTGAACAACAAAACATTAATTCTCTACAGTGCCCAAGTCAAAGTCTACATCTCAGTCCAATCAAGAATCTGTGGCACTATTTGAAAATTGCAGCCCACAAGCATGATTCAACCAACATAAATAACCCAGAGCAAATGTGCAAGGAAGAATGGGCGAAAATCACCCTCAAACAGTGTGCAGAGCTGGGAGAAACTCCAATGGACTTAAAGCTTTTATTGCAGCAAAAGATGGTTCTATCAAGTACTAGTCTGAAGGCACTGAACACTTACGCAAGCAGCATTTTTCAGTTTTTCACTTTTGGAAAACAATCTGCTGACAAGTAATAAATTAAGACTTCTTACTTTAAGAACATACTGTTCTCAATAAAAAATACTGTCTGGAACAACAGGTACAAGTGTCACTTGTAATCCAGATTAAATTCATGACTTTACTTTTTCAAGGCACAGTATAATTCGCCAACGAGGAGCTTTGAATCACTCTGATAGCATAATGACAAAACCTGCTAATAGACAACAGCATCTCATTACTTGCTGACTGGAAGACAAGAAAAGCTGCTAAAATGAAGCCTGACTTGGCACAGTTTCATTTACACTCATATTTGAAAGATAGGTCTACTGTAATCTACAACGTTTTGGTGAAGGCCTTATTCAGAGAAAGAAAATTGAATATCTTCAAAGTACCAGGCAGCGTGATTGTGAACTGCTGGGCGGCACTCACTTTACTGACCTAACGCTAGTAAACATGGCATTAACTGGAAGTTAGTTTGTCTTTTTTGTCCGGTTTCATTTCATTTTAATCTCAACACTGAAGAGAATGTCTGGGACTTGATGTTTTGATTCAAGCTGTCTGAGGCAATTTGGAGAAATTACTCAGACACTTTTTCTCTAAGAATCGGCCAGTCAAATTATAATGGCTTATAACAGGGCCAAAGCCCAAGCTCTCTCAGTAATAGTAGTCCTGTTCAAATCAACTTCATTGAATGTAATAATAAAGATTATAGTAATAATAATAATAATAATAATAATAATGTAATAACAAAACATGCTCATAGACAACCCCACCCCTTTTTTGGTGACTGGTAGATGAGGACAACTTCTAAAATGGGGGGCTGATTGACACAGTTCCTTTATCCTCAAGATCAAAACAAGACTACTGTGATCTGGAACATTTTTGGGATTGCCTAATTAGAAACAGAAGGAAAATGAAATATCTTGAAAGTACGTCTCACAAGGCAGAGTGATTTCAATCTTATATGCTATTTGGTGAGTTGAATGAACCCACTTTACTGTTATTCTCTCTGGTAGTTTTTCTTGTTTGTTTATTAGGATCTTAAATCTGATGAGAGCTTCCAGGCTATTTGGAGTAATTTGGGGAAATTTTAACCTCTTAAAATCCCTAATTACACACTAAGGCTTATTATTCAGTAACTACAGGGACTAAACTATTCTTAGGTTAACGAAGTGTGTAATAAAACTAGGTCCGCCACCGAGCCCTGGCCATGTAAGAGGTTAATGCTTTATGCCACACAAATCAGTCAGTCAAATTTCTTACAAACTATACTCCTGAACGTCCTCTGCTAAAACTAATCCAGCTTCAATATGGCTTAATTTCCTTCTGTCAAAAGTTTGGGGACGCCTTGGATTCTTTTACATTTTCTGACTAATGTCTGAATTACACTTTTACATTTACTCTTACAGCAAAGGTTTATATAGTATAAAACAGCTCCTTCCTAATACTTCATCAAAGTGTCTTCTTTGGTATGAAGATATGAAGAGCAGGTTTTTGAGGCTTGAGGCTTATTGTGCTTTTTGCACTAACCTGGCGTGATTGCAATGCCGTTGCCATTAACGACGGGGCTCTCTTCCTGCTCCTCCTCGGGCGGCTCGATGCTGTCCTTCTCCATGTTGCTGACCGACTTGTTCCTCTTCCTTTTCCCCTCGGCACTGGGGCGGGCACCCGGCAGCAGCTGGTCAGTCACATTAAACAGCATGGGCGTGGGTTCGGCTGGGGGCTTGGGCGTGCCATAGAAGTTATCTAGAACGGAAGAAGATCCAATATATTACAGTACATGTGAGACACTCATGATTCGTACAGCTAACCGTTATCAAAATCAACTAATCTCTGAAAGAAGTTTTCAGTTATAACGGCACACACTGCCTTCTACATTAAAAATGTGCTCGATGTACTGAGCCTTTCGCACCAATTTCAGGCACAAATTGGACGCATTGTGCCTGCGTGATATACGAAACTGCCACAAGTGCAGTTTAAGGACCATGTTCATGGAAAAACACAAGATTTCCGTTAGACATATGTATTTTAATGAGGACGGCATAAAATGGGGGGGAACTGGTAGAGATATTGAAAGTGTGACTGATTACATATTCTGCTTGATTTACAAAAGTCTGGGCAAGAAGCGGTGGCCTTTTATTTTTTTTTATTGTTTTTGTCTGCCTTTAAATCAGCCTTAAATTAGCAGTAATGTCTCTAATGTGTGTTGCTGGGAGACGTTCTTTAACAATAGCAGTGGACACAGCGACTAGACAGAGGAACAAACCTTGAATACATGCTGAAAGAATATTTACCAACAGAATAATACTATTTAAACTCTCAGGAGTAGATGAATGTGTGTGAGAAGTTGCAGTGCAAAATGCGCCTTGATGCGGATGCAATATTCACACGTAATCTGCGTTACTGTTTTCCACACTTTCTAAGCTGGAGTCGAATCGTTCACCTGTTGAATGTTTTAGTGGGAAATAACTTCATTTATTAGCGCCACTCTCCAACATCACTGAACTTTTCACCTGCAGCTTTTAAACTTTGTGTCTTAAGAGTGTGCAGTTAGTAAGTTGTCCATAGTAGGCCTGACTGAATGGAATGCAGTGGCGTCTCTACATTAGGGGCTGGTGGGGCCTGGTCCCTCCAGATGTCGCTGTGGAGCAGTGCACGACATAATCAATAACTCAGTCAACTATATATTTTTTTTTCTTCGCAACTATCATTGTTGCGCGTTTATTACATATGACAGTGGTCGGGCTGTCCGATACATTCCAAATATCTTCTTGTGTCTGTCGTGTAAATGCCAGTGGGCTACCTGTTTCTCCTAGCAGTCTTCGTGTGGTGAGCGTGGGGCCCGTCAGCGCTCGTCTAACCAAGTGAGCAGTAAAAAAACACTCTGCACATGTTCAATGCACTTTCAATAACCAGCTGTGGGGCACAATCACATTGGCCCCACGATGAGAGCAGCCAATAAAAAATAATACATTTACATATGTCCAGATGTTTATTAAACATTGTTTTACGGTGTGGCTGTAGCTACGCAGCTAGCTGTTGTTCATCATCATTTGTGGTAGCCACTCCTAATAGCAAGGCAATATAATGAGTCAAGTCGAAAATGTAATAAAAGTTAAATTTGGTACCCTGTCATTAGAGCAGAAATTAGAGATCAAACGTTTGGGACACACCAGCCAGAGGATTTCAACACCATTCAGTCTGGAAAGGACAAAAACTGCTCCTTCAATCCAAAGAGGTTCAAGAGAAAAACATGGCTAACTGTGAGGGTAACTAAAAACACTCTTCTGCTTTCCTTGCCTGCCCTTGCTATGCTATCACCTGAATTCATTAATGGATTGGTGACTTTGAGAGAAAAGTTTTTGTCAAGTTTGTCCAGATGAAAGATGGTCATCCATTTTTCTTTTCGAGCAGTGAACATCACTGGTGAGTCATTCTGCATTACTACATGGCATGTTATTCCTAATGCCTGGAAAGCAATGATGTGTTTCCCTGCTCTGAAATGTTGCTTTGGATGTGTAGTTGCAGACCACAATGATCGTAACTGCTAGATAACTTTGTATTTGTAATGCGATGCTGTATAACAAGGTTTTGTGAGATCTAATGTTGCTATTATATCACTCATATTCCTGTCTCCACTTCCACCAACTCCTGCACCACGTTACGTTAATGTAAGAATTTGTGATTTCATTGATGGAGTGCGTTTGTGTTTGGATCAGGTTTGTGTGTAGTTTCACTGACGAGTCGGCTAATGCCTCTACAGTTTATTGTGCCCCACCAGGCTTTCTGTGGCAGAGACGCCACTGATTGAAAGTACATTCTAGGCACACTGCTGGTTCATACTGCAGTTGCATCAATCCCAGAGACCACTGCTCACTGGTGTATTAGTGAAGAAAATATTGCTAGGAGTCACATCACTTTGAGAGCTGCTTAGTATGCACCATGAAGGTTGCTGTAACTTCTTAGAGCAACTTTTCAATCATGTTTTCAATAACTTTGCCCACTTCCTTTTTTATTCTTCTTCGTGTGATGTTTGTTATTAAAGGCGACCTCCTTCACAAGACCCTCAAATCTTTCATTCAAGATTGAAAAGAAATCATGTGTATCGGGGGGAATCTGTTTAATGATTAAAAATTAAACATGCAAGTGCGTGTGTGTATGTGTGTGTGTGTGTGTGTGTGTGTGTGTGGTATGTGTGTATGTGTGTGTGTGTGAGGCAGAGGCTTTTGAATTCATCTGCAGGTCTGTAGGGAATCAGTAGAAGGCTGTGGAAGTCCAGAGATGTGAGGAAAAGTCTGATTTCAATTATGTACTGTGGCCCAGAATTACAGCGGAGCTCCTTATAGTCCTCACAAATATACTGTAACCTCATCTGCTGAAGAAAAGACGGACCAAATTGTGGACATTCTCTGACACAGTTTGAGCTAAATTCCTGTAAGGAAAATGCATATAAAATAAACCACTGAAACTTATTCACTTTTGACTCAACACATCATTCCCAACACACTGTGCTTAAACTTAAATAACTTACTTAAATAACTTACAACCATTTGAGATATCAACAAACTTACCATGTTAAACTACAGAAGCTAAGCTATGTCGTAAGTAGTATTGTATGTCATATGTCTCTCTGGAATCCTAGGTCTGATCTATATAACATCTGCTGTATAACTGCTAATCTGCTGTATTGCTCATCCATTAAAATACAGTATATACAGATCAATGTTCAGTGGATTACTTTCTACACATTTTCTTTTTGTTGTTATTTTTATCACTGTTTTGTAGTCAATCACAAAAAATACACCATCCAGCAGATCCAACCAAAGCTTTAGAGACCCTCCAACACCGCTGTGGTTTTCGTGACTGTCGACACAGTGGTAGTGGGCTCAAATGTGACTGCCAAATTCTAGTGCAACTTTTGAAAACTTCAAAATATTTGACTTCTGAATCTAGAAAAACAACGTTTTCCTTAAGATGGGTGATGAGATAGTACAAATGCTTTTCGAGGTGATGACAAAGACACTGACAAATTGAGAAGTGCGATGTAGCTCTGTACAGCTAGACAGCAGCACATCACCTGTAAGAACATAAACTGAAAAAGCCTACCTGAGAAAATGATCACAGATAGTACATACAGACAGTAGAGACTTCCAGTGACTTTTGTAAGTGGTTGATTGTGTGGATTATTCATTCAAATAGTTTTGTTCTGTAAATTTTCATTGTCTTGAGAAAATGTAAAAAAAAAAAAAATCTCTGGTTTAGATTTTTTAATGAATTTGCACACTATTTTTGGCTTAAATAATTAAATAAACAAAAAAAAAAAGTAAATAACACTCAAAAATATAAAGATACACCCAGACAGCCACTTTAATGCTCAGGTTCGAAAGGGTTAACCAATTAATCTGAAGGGTAATAGTGGATATACCTAGTAATCTGTGCCAAAGAATGGCATAACATCCTAATGAATTTTTTTTCTTTAAATCCTTCTCAAGTGCTCAGGAAATGTCTTAATCGTATACCATGGTAAGCTAGTAATTGATATGAGTAGTCTTCTGCCCTCTCTGAGTACAGTAAACGTTAAAACGAGAAACATAAAAAAACACATGCGTCATCAAAATGAAAGAAGCTGATTTCTAAAAGAGCGGGCATGGCTGAGCGCCCAGCCGACCCCCATCTCCCACACACCGCCTCTCAAAACGCTTGGCACTCACAGCATTATGATGCAGTGGCTGCCAGTTCCGCGGGAAAGAGAATCAGGGTAAAGTCCTTCCCTCCTCCCCTCCTAATGGCCCAAAAGAAACCTGCATCTGCTTCGGAAACTAGTCCACACACCTGACAGTTTGCTCCCTCGGGCCCATGCTGCACCCGCTCTGAATGCGCTTCCTCAATGTCAAAGAGAAACGTGTAGCTGCGGTTACAGCCAGCCGTGTCTGAGCGCATTAACAGCGCGCTTGTGTATTTTCAGTGGATCTAACAGGTGAACAGATGTTGTTTATATCAGAAAACCTGAATAACACTCTGGAAGTAGATATGCGGCGACCATCATCAGCGATGTGTAATTATCAGCGATGATAATTCCATCTTACACAGCTTTGTGAAACGGAAAATATCTTCAAAAGGGAAACAAGGCACATCTGCACAGCATCATTTTAGATGCCAAATGTAACACTTGACACATATGTAAGGCTTGTGCACAGTTTTCCAGCGATTAAAAACGCTCTTGGCACTCATATGCAAGAGATCACTGGAAGCCTCATGATATACAATTAGGGCTGGATATCAAAATGTCATTTAAATATAAAATGTTTCAATATTTAAGTAGTCAGAAAACAATTTTCAAAAGTTTAGTTCACTTATATGGTCACCAAATAAGTGAATGCAGTGCACAAAAGACTTAAAAAATGTCTATTGGGCTCCCGAGTGGCGCAACCGTCTAAGCGTTGGCCCTATCATCAGGAGACTGCGAGTTCAATCCCTGGTGATGCTACAGCCATCCGTAGCCGGGAGTCCAAGAGAGCACAATTGGCCTCGTTCTCTCTGGGTGGGTAGGATGGCCCCCCCTTCTCCCCCCATCACTCAACGCGATGCTAGTCAGCGCAGGTGTCTGTTAGCTGACGTAACAGATCTGGCGGTTGGCGCTTTCCTCCGAGCGCGTTCGGCTGTCCAATGACGTTACGTGAGCGGCAGTTCGAAAAGAAGCGGTGGTTGGCTTCACAGGTCTCGGAGGAAGCCTGTGTTAGCCTTCACCCTCCTAGCGTTGATGGTATCGTGTGATTGGGCGAGTCCTAACTAGCGGGTGGAATTGGAGACAACTAAATTGGGGAGATAATTGGGTAAAAATCCAAAAAAACTGCTAACTGCTAAATGCTAAACAGGAGAGAGCTGGTTAGCATTAGCTTAGCTAGCATGATAACAGCTCTGCTCACCACAGATCATGTCAATTCTGGCCAACTAAAGCACAGACACAAGTTTAGACAATAATGATTCAGATTATTCAGAATCAATGATTCTGAAGGAGTGAAGTCGAGCGACTGGTGTTGCAGGGACAGAAAGGCAAAATTAAAGTTCTGTGGTGTGTTAACTTAACATTAACTTAGCAAGTGGGCTACAGACGTAAACAGTGCCACACAGCACAGTATAACTTTGATTCTGACTAACTGGTGCTCTCCTGAAACAAATTTATTCCTGAGGTTATTCCTGACTCTGATTTTCCCCTCTTTCTGTCAGCACCACCTGTTGGTGAGCTCTCACACCAACGATCACTGACCCCTCTAAAATATAAACTGGAACAGAAATTTGGCACGTCATAATTTTGACATGTCATCATCATTTTTAAATACCAGCATATTTTTTAAATACCGCCCAACTACACCACACTCACTTTCGGTTTGGAATTCTACTCCTTAAAAATCCAGACTTATTACATTTTCATATTAAAGTCTTGAGTATCGATGTTTATATCTTGAGCGATATCCATTCTAATCATGTATGTAGTGGTTGGTATTAAAAAAAGCAACAGCAAAAGGAGGAAAAAAAAACACTTACTTATTAGATAATAACACTGGATGTTAGTTTTATTTTTCAAAGCCAAGGGAAATCAGTAGGCTTTCATGTTGTATGCGTAACCAAAGCTGCCTCTTCGGAGGAGCTAATGAGCTGACACCAGAAACATTATAAAGGAAGAGACCGGTCACTAGTCACCTTTACATGCAGCCTGATAATCCGTTAATAATCCAACTAACAGCTCAATAGGAACAGAATACGTCCATGTACACGACTCAATCAGAGTAGACTACTCCGACTGAGGCCATTCAGAATACAAATTCTATCTGATTGAACGAGGTGGCTAATCCTGTAAATAATCCGTTAAATAGAAGAATAATATCTGCGCAAACGCCTGTATCTGATTACATTCCCACCCGGAAAGTTTAAGTACGCTCTGAGCATGTGCGTTTACATCATAGCAAAAGTTTATAACGTTCAACATGTCGGAGCAGAAACTGGTCTGCAGGCGAGACAAAGTTTATGCTCTGATCTTTAAAAGACGGCGGTGGGTCGGGCGTCCAGCTTATGTGTCTCAGAACACGACGTCTTCCTCTCGCCCTTCTTTAATAAGTACATGTGAAGTACATTTTCCTGAGTCTGACATCATTTTGAAGTAATTAAAAACCCAAGCGCACAGCTGGAAACTCAGGTAACACACTGCAAAGATGTCCTCCATGTGAACAGACTTTAACTATAAGGACTTTGGCTAACACTAACAACACTGGATGCTGATGAGGACTCTTTGTCTCCTAGACTTGGTCTTTTCTCCTCAGTGGACAGGATCTAGCTAACATCAGCTAGAGTCACCGCGAAAAAGCCGCACCAGAGCCTTAATGTCCTTAACAATGCATCCTTGGCAAAGCGCTCACGTTCAGGCACTTCTGTTTCACAGTAGCAAAGTATACTACACACATTCATAAAACTCACATTTTACAGTCATGGTTAAACATAAAAGCCTGCTGAGTTTGTCCTTCTTTCTGTGATGAAGCCAGTGAACTAATGTTACGTTGGCCTACCTCTGTGACACGATCAATTTGGAAGTCACTCTGGACAAGAGCTTCTGCCAAATACCATAAAACGTACGGACTGGGATAAAACTTATTGTGATTTATTACTTCTGACTGCAAATTACACCTGCAAATGAGAACATTCTGTTTCACCTAGAGTTTGTCTCACTTCAATCTTTTTTTATAGAGGCAAAGAGAATTGTGAAATCAAGCCCTCCTTCCACAATTAGACATTTAGCAGACGCTTTTATCCAGAGCAATTTACAGTGGTAGGTGAACAGCATTAAGAGCATACCCCAAAGAATACGAATACCAGAACAGCTGGAACAGGGAACTGAACCTCAGTCTCCTGTGTGAGAGGCGTCAGAACTATTCGCTATGCGATTCAGCCACTTCGACCAACCACAAAGAAAAAAAGTCTTCTGAGTGACATATTGTGTACTAAGAAAGCAGTTCTGTCACATGTCATATTAGCCCAAGGCTTCATATATGTTAAAATATTAATAATTAAATAACAGAATAGCAATACTTGGGCTGCTGGGTAGCCACGTTTTAGGATCTGTTGTGACAAAACGCATATGCTTGTGTCTTGCTAGATCACGAATACTGACATAAAGCCCCCACAAAAATCACTCACTACTCACCTTCATATGTTCCACTCTCTAGTAAGGCCCCACTTTTCTCTAATTCCATAAACCGGTCAACACTGACAAAGTTGTAGTCCACACCTGGGACCTCACCCTCCTTAGGCTGTCGTGTGGTACCTGATGACAAAGAAAGCACAGATTTCAGGAAGGTAATGCAATTCATGCAAAAAGGTACACGTTATCAAATACACAAGCTATATAATCTGTAACCTCACTCTACACATGCTATATATATATATATATATATATATATATATATATATATCACTACTGATATAATTTAATCCTTAAAACTCTCTCACTCTGCACATCTTCCTTGAGCCCACCAAATGCAAGCAATCTGCAGCACGAGTCAGACTTATCAGCCTGAAATGAGTTTTGAAATAGAGTCTAGAAGAGTTGAACCGCTCAGAGTGAGACAGAGCTTCATAGTCAGGGCCGTCTCATCTCGGCTGCCAGCGAGCTTTACAGAGTCCCCCCCGAGGAGTCACTCTCACGCAGTGACAAGGCAGTGACAAACGACCTGATCAGAGGGACAGGCAAGAGGCCAGCGACTGCACTCAACTTTCTACAGTATTTCTACCAGACACGATCGCTAACCATTCAATCTCGGGAGGCCGAGCGAACAGACAAACCCTTATCTATCATTCTGCTTTAAGAAGCTTGAGTAAGGTGAGTAAATTAAGGACGAGATTTTATCGGCGCTCACAGCATGAGAACAGATATGCTATTACACATCTTCAGAGAAGCTTAATGATCATAATCAATAACAACAGGCAACCTGTAATCAGCGAAACATGATTACATGAAACCCTGCAGCTTCTGACCGAGACGAAAGATTGAATCGTGAACTAGAAATGAGATTTGCATCGGGGTTAGAAGAAGAAAGCTGGAGTTGTGAGGCACACAAACAACTGTTCTCTCCAACTGAATAGCTTCTTTAGCAAGAAAAAGTGCCACAAAGTGTATTTAGCTCCAGAATATCCATTTAGTCACCACTCATTAGCTCTGTTTAAAAGCTAATAAGGGATTAAACGAATGCAAACTGTTTGTTCTTGTGTCAGACGGAAAGACAGACTGGGGGATGGACACTAGACTATAGTTATTTATATCACAATATATAACTGTCATAAAAACTGAAAAAGAAAACCACTAATTATGTTATGGTGGCATAAGCCATAAGCATGAGTTTTGAGTTTTGATTATGCATTAATTATTCCACAAGCATGCTGGTGGAATGTTGTTTATACAATTAATAAACAAGTGTTTTTCTATTACAAAAATTAATTAATTTCACATGTGAACACAAAGCAACAATCATCAGCTCTACACTCCTTCATAGTCACTTTAAAGCATATGTGGTTGTTGTGCCATAGCTTGTATTGTCAGGTCTATCCCATTTTATTGCTAGTGTTTAAGTCTATTCTAGATTGTACTTTGTAAACTATTTGCCAGTTCTTTGCAGATATTTTGTGAGGTAAATGAAATGAGGCAAGTAAACTACTGAATCACTGCTAATAAATACCTGACTTGCTGCAATAGCAGGTAAAAGAGTGCATATAGACTAAACACAAATGACCACTAATGGCCTTAAGAGGTAGAAATACTCTGAACCTTTCTGCGTTTTGTGATGCTGAGCTCATAACAATGTCAGACTAAAATCTGTACTAATTTAGTAAAAGTCAGGGAACAGTTGACACGAGGGGTTCATTTTGTCAAAATGATCACATCTTAAAAAATCTAAATGTCAAAGTGGTCAGTTTGGCCTTTCTGCTATTAAATGTGCAATCCAGGATCTGCAGTTTCCACTTTTGTGTTGCATTATTTTGTACTGGACCGTTCTCTGACCATAAAGTAAGGGCTATAGCAGAGGCCTTCAAATGAGAGTTTAAATCCAGTTTCTGGTCCAAGAATTCATAATCACTGATAGGTGAGCCGGGTGGCCAGTTAACTACAAGAACAGTTCAGTTTAAAGGAAATTTCACCAACTTTAATACATTTTCTTTATAATTAAATGGATGTAAAGATGTAAACAGTTATACAGAGTGGTTTGCTGTTCTATTAGAAAAACTTACTAAGTCAAAATTGTTCAAAGTGGTGGTGATGGGAACCAAACGTCTGTAGTGTTTAATGCCTCTAAAAGCTTCCTTACAGAAAGTTATTACATGAAATGGCTTGATGCCTCAGACATTGTTTTAGGATAGGACAGACTTTAAAATCTAAGCCTTTAGTCTTAACATGGTAAGACAATATAGTCCCCAAAGAAAACTTTTTTTTCAAATTTATGACTATTTTACCATCATCAACAATTCATATAAATCTCAGAAGGCACGTGTAGGTTCACCGGCCATTTTGGATAGTAAATAAAATGGCGATATTTGTGTTGTAGACATTGCTAACCCCCGGTTCCCATCACCACCACTGTCAAGAAAGCCTGTAATTTTCCCTATAATCAACTATTTCACATCAAACCACTTGGAATGTCCAGCTTTTGCTGACACTGACTAAGTTAGGCTAAACTCTTTACCAGTGATAACAAAATCAAGGACCGAAGACTGGATTCAAGGTCCAGATTTGAAGACCCCTGGGCATCAACAGACAAGCTACAACAGTGGTTCTCAATCTGGGTCCTGGGGATCCCACACTATGCACAATTTTCCCTCAGATAACACAACGGATTCAGCTCATTAACTAATTAACAAGCTCCTTTTGCTATTAGAGCAGAGAAAACACAACATGTGCCGTCAATGAGGTCCCCAGGACTGACTTCGGGCTACAGTCTCTAACTGTACACCAGCAAGGTGGAGTTTCTAATGAAGGTATGTATTTTGCAACATGTTCATTTATGCATCAGTCTCTACATTTACTACTAGACCAGTTTTCTCCCAAGAGAGACAACCAAGTATGCTTAACTTAATCTATCTACTGTTTCTGACTTACAGATACACATAATTAGTGCAACTAGTTTGCTGGTTGTTCTTATAGGCATTATGCTCAACCTTTCGAGCTTTTGACAACCATAATCCCAGCCTGAGCAATCACTCAGATAGAACGTTCTAATCACATTTTATCAGAGACAATGCTCTGTCACGGAGCCCTCATAATTGCATCATAAATACGCCGCGACACCTGTCACAACTGTTTATGAGAAATTAGATCATTGTGCAACAGATGACAAATATTTGCCTTTAAACTGCCTACAGGAGTGACGAATTACTGAATGTTCCCCAAGAGAGAGTCTTGCTCTGCAAAGCAACGACCATAACTATTCAAGTGGGTAGAGGAAATTGCAGCTGCCACCAAGATAGCCAATGGCACCCTGCGCGCTGAGGCCAAGCTCCTCACTGCAGTCCCACAGCCGCCGAACTGACAGAAAGGATAAAAAGAGCATTTAACGGCGAGATGGCTGCTCACACGCAACAACAATCAGACACTGGACACACCATTACTGCTGCACGATTGGAAGTGGCAGCAATAAGCGATTAGGTTTAGTACACATAGATGGACCCACTCTTACAATCCATTAACTGGATAAATAGCTCTTTGTGTGAACAGTAAGGTGAGACACACAAGAAGGAAATCATGCTCAGTACTATAACAGATGTATTATATCTAGAGATGCCATAATAACACTTTTTTTCCAAAACTGATACTGAAACCTTGAGTATCGGCTGATACTAATCCAATGTGAGCTATTTTTATTTTTATTTTTATTTGAAGTACTTTACTTAGAGGGCCTATATTGTTTCCCCTGAGCTCCACATTATGTGTGGGTTAATGTAGCCAAAAAAAAAAAAGAATTATGTATATTAATAAGTAAATTTTCCAATTTCCAGTTTCCTCATTTTCTAATTTCTCTTTATCCATTAGAATTAAACAGGCTGTTTTTGTTCTGACTTATATATGCAAGTGAGCTCTGTTCTGATTGGCTGCCTTGTATTGTGCCACAGTCTGGGCTGACAAACTCTTCAGAACTTATATGATTGGGCTAAACTGATGTAGGGTGTATAGGCAGATATATGCAAATGAGTTACATCACAAAAACAAAGGATTCAAATGTTTTTAGCAGCTTAATTGCCATATATAGACTACATGGACTGAGAAGTTGAATTATAACAATATTTACATACTATATCTATCTTATTATTTAAAAAAGTGAGGACAATACAGTTTTCCATGATATGGGCCCTTAAAATATGAGCATTTAGAAGTAGATTTTCATGCTCAAACTACTCAAACACTCCACTACCCAACAGGAAGAACTACACAGCTAACAACTACACATCACGCAGTGTGAGGGTATGGTATTACAGGATAGATTTGTTACAGGACTGGATCGGATTCATTCTGGTTTTCCCTTCAATAGAGCTGCCACAAGCTGAAGATTAACTGCCATATAAATAACTATGATTAACAACTTGTACGTTTTGCTTGATGCAACTATTAATGTACAAATTGGTTGATAAGCACCAAGTCAGACGTTAGAACTTTTGTTGTTTTTATAAGACCCATGATGTGTCTCAGTGCATGTTCTGCTTTCTTTTAATTACACGCATTTGCCTCAACCCAATGAAAAATAACAAAATTAAAAAACTGTGGAAAATAACTGTGGACAGATTAAAGCTGCAATACATAAATTTTGGGGATTTGGAGACCTTTCTGTGCAGAAGAACATTTTGTAACATCGCTGTGCTTTAGATCCCAAAGAGCGGTTGAATCTGATGTTCACAAGCGTGTTCAAAGAGTATTCAAAGAGAACTCAGTCAAACCCGGTCTTCCAAGTGAATTACCTACTTTTGTCATCATATCTTCACCAGTACAACGTTGATGTTGCGTTTGAGACATAAAGCCGGCCCTTCTTTTTGAGGCTGTGCGTGTGAAGTTAATACATAAAGACGTACAACTTGGTCTGAAAAGCTCCAGCAAAATCTGTCTCAGCGCCTCTGACTTTTCATATTTAAGCATATTGTTTTTCCTCCTGATCAGGTCAGATAACTGCAATTAGGCTATGTAATAACTGCGACAGGCTTACCCGCCGATATTCAGCTCTACTTCCACATGCACAACCAACGCAAGTCAATGGACGGCACAGCCAAGCCTACTTTAGATCTACAAAG